AAGTAAAAAGATCAAGAGAAGCTTTGCCTCCTGCTTCCCAGTAACTACAAGAGATGGTCACAGGCTACAGAGGTTATCTCAATGACTCCTGCAGCTTAAACAAAATAGAGGGAAGGTGCTTCCCACCCACCAACAGAGCAAACAATGGGCTAAAGCAGAAGCCAGCAATCCAAAGCACCTAGATGTCCAACTACCTGCAACCAGAGCAGCAGCTTCCAGAGACCCCTGGAAAAAAACCTGCCTTTCTGCTCCTGGGAACATGGATGAAGAGGGAAGGGAAGGAAAAATGCCCATCTGGAAAGAACAAGGTAAGATATAGCAGGGGTAGCAAGGGCAGGGGAGGTTGTGATGCTGCTTGGAAAGTCACGGTCTGCTTTGAGACAGGCGAAATGGTTAAATGCAATACAAATAGCTTGGCAGTCTCTGTGCTCTTCCACCTTTGACCTAAGGAGCGCTGCATAACTATTTTATGCAACGTGAAAAAGCCAGAGGGCTGTTTCTACAGCAAACAGCATAGCCTTGATCTACATCTAACACACATGCAAGCAGCTGTAGTTGAGCAAAAAAAATCTTACAGGCCAGTCTGTGGTGAGACGATCCACAGGGCGGAAAAAATACAGTAAATTCTCAGTGGTGCTTTCTCATACCAGCGTCCACAGGGCAGAGCCTAGCCAGGTCACTTACATCTCTGTGCCCCTTTGATAGAAGTTTAAGCTTAACTGCCTACATACCTGCCTTTCCACAGCTGCTGCTCAGTCCCTGGGGCTCATCTGCCTGCAGGTCTCTTGTTTTGGTTATTTATTTGCATTACCACAGAGCCTGGCGGCTCTGCTCACAGTTTCTGCCTACAATAGCTGACAATCTGCGTTTTGGACAAGACACACAGAGATGGAGGGCAAGACGCAAGTGAGATAATCCTGAACAGCATACTGGCAATAGCTTCACCAAATCCATAGCCTGCAGGTTACCAAGGTTTTCTTTTACAGCCTCTGCAACAAGACAGTCTTAAGAAGAATGCTGAAGGAAGAGAAATGGGTTTTCAGTTGCTTGTGGACAGCACAAAGCAGCATGGGGGCGTGTGGTTTTGTTTTCTGAAAAGTCCCCGGGGAGAAGGCAAAGGAGGGCGCTGGATGGGGTGCACAGGGCCAGGAGCAAAGTATCTTGCCAGTAAATGAAACTCGGCAGAGAGCATGGCCTGGAGCTTACCAGGGGCTGGAAAGGGGAGCCAAGCGCCTTATCCCCGGCACTCATTTATACTCACAGTGCACAGGAACACAAGACCAGCTCTTAGTACAATCTACAGATTTGTGTGTAAAAGTTGCTCTCTGGATTGATTAACTATTATAATTCTCAGGTTTCTTGAATTTGATTCAGTAATATTTACACTTCACTCATTCGAATACTAATTCTGTATTTAATCTGCATTGTGCGGCTTTCTAAGCCATTTAATGCTGTAAATTAAGATTAAAGCACCTAAGCTTTTGTTAGCCATAGAAGTACAAAGCTCAGGTTTGTGTTGTGTAATTTTATGACAGCATAATCTGATAAAGCAACAAGTATCTCCTGTCGACAGTTTGCCTTGAGACGTATCTGGCAGGAGGACAGTAAATACTAATGACAGAGACTTCTTTTTCTTAATAAATCAGTTTTTGCTCTTGTCCCAGTGTCTTTGAAGAGAAGCCAATCTTCAAGAGAAAGAACAGAGAACAAAAATCGAGTGCTCTGTCTGAAGAAAAGTTTTCTGCAACAAATCCTTTCAGTTCTTCGTGCTGACATACAGTAAATGAGAGTTTTAATTCACAGCCAGTCTACCTGTGGAATTATTGCTGTTTGTTCCCCCTGCTGGGAGGAACAAATTCATTTTGAAAACATTACAAGCTGTTTTCCACTGTGCTCCTCTACAGGCTCAGAGAGCTCAGGCTTGCTCAGTTCTAGATTTAACCCCCTCTGAGCACAGCTGCACTGCTGGGAGTGCAGCTTCTCTTGTTCTTACTTCTTAATTAGCTCTATCCCACTTCTTTAAATCAGTATGATTTTTTCATAATTACCTTTTCCTTTTTGTTAGTTGTTGCTAGCTCTCAGTTACCTTTCCTCTTAGGATTCCTTAAAACAGATGTCTGAAAGAATGCTACACAATGCTGCCAGATGCCAAGAAATAACAACAGAAAACTATTTAAA